TTTTTTCTAAACAGAGTCTCACTCTAATTCAGGTTGGCCTTGAACTCAGTAGGTAGCCCTGGCTGGCCTCGAACTCCCAGCAATCCTCCTGCCTCAGCCTCCCAAGTGCTGAGGTTACAGGCGTGCGCCACCACGCCCGGCTGATGATGATATTTTTGAGACTGAGTCTCGCTCTGTTGCCCAGCCTGGCCTCAAACTCCCAGCCTCAAGCAGTCCCCCTGTCTCAGCCTCTGAAGAATCTGGAGTTACAGGCATGAGCCGTGGCACCCAGTCGGACTCTGTGGTCTTGGAAAAAAAGCCTCACATTTCTGCAGTGTTATTTCTTTTTTCTTTTTGCAGTACTAGGGATTGAATAGAGGAGCTACATCCCCAGTGTATTGTTATTATTGTTATTTTAATTGTGGGTCTCGCTAAGTTGTGAAATTGCTTAGGCTGGGCTCAAACTTGTGATCCTCCAGCCTCAGTCTCCCAGACTGCTGAGATCACAGGTGAGCACCATTACACCTGTGGGATGCCACTTCTTTAAAACAGGCTAACACATCGGGCATGGTTGCGCACACCTGTAGTCTCAGCACTCGGGAGACTGAGGCAGGATCGCTGTGAGTTTGAAGCCAGCCTGGGCTACAAAATGAGCTCAAGGCCAGCCTGAACTGCATAGTGAGACCCTGTCACCAAAAGACAAAAATGGGCTGGGGATTTAGCTCAGTGGCAAAGCGCCTGCCTGGCAAGTGCAAGGTCGTGAGTTTGATTCCCGGTACCGGAAGAAAAACAAAACAAAAAACCAAAACAGAAAGACAAAAACGAACAAACAAATAAATAAATAAAATACAGGCTAACACTGCTGTCTGCCTGGGTCTCTGGGAGCATGTAGAGTGCCTGAGGAGGGTCAACCACCATCCCTGGCACGCAGGGAGGCTGAGTCAGGACCATCTCACTCCCCTCAGCCTGCAAGCTTCCCCCCTGCCAGTCCCCTCCTCTCTCCTCTCCTTTTCTGCATTCCCAGACTCTCCATGCCCAGCTTCAGCCACTGAAGAGCATACTGTCCTGCTGCAGCCTCCTGCTCTGGGACCCCAGGAGCGCTGTGGGAGCCTGCGGTGGGGTTGGGTGCCCCACTCTTCGGGCTCTGGTGTGCGTCTGGGACACCCTCCCCCAGCCGCGTGCCCCTTGGCAGCTGTGCCTGCAGGGCTCACTTGGTCTGAGCGGTCCTGGCCGGTTTGTCAAGGACATTCCTAATGGCCATGCGGGGGCGGGGCGGGTGTTGATTGGCGGCGCGCGCACCTGTCCAGGTGCACCGACACCGTAGTGGAGAGGCGCGGCCAGAGGAGGCCCGGTCGGCAGCCGGACAGGTGAGGCCCGGGGACTCCGAGGGGACCTGCCAGGCCAGGAGGGCAGGAGGGGCCCGAGGCAGAGCCAGCAGTGCCCTGTGACCCTTGCGCTTGGGGGTCCTGGGGCTTGGGGTTTCCCCGGGGCCTGCAGCCTGAGCTGAGGGGTGCTCAGAGATGGGGACGGGGAGCAAGGCTGGCCACGGGAGCCCTGGGCAGAGGGACTGCGCCGGGACACAGCCCGGTGTCCAGGAGGGTGGGAGCAGGGGCTCTGACGGGGGCCGAGGGTCCTGGTCCTGCCTATGCCTACCCTGCTGCTGGAGAGAGAGGGGCACCGTGGGTCCCTAGGAAGCCTACCCCACACTTACACACACACACACACACACACACACACACGAGCACACACTCAGCCTCTCCTGTCCGTTCAGGAATTAGAGGCCAGGAAAGGCTAAAGCCAGGATAAGGGGGTGTTAGCGGTCACCAAGGGTCTGTCTGTCTGTCTCTCCACTCAGCAGGGACCCAATGGAGGAGCTGGTGGGGCTGCGTGAGGGGTCCCCGGCGAACCCGGTGACTCTCCATGAGCTCTGGGGCCGGTGTCCCCGCATCCGCCGGGGCGTCCGAGGTGAGAGCCGGTCCCCTCCACCCGAAGCCCCTGAAGATCCTTCAGGACCCCACCCCTTCCCTCCCCCTTTCTTTTTCTTTGTCTTTTTGAGACAGGGTCTCACTATGCAGTTCAGACTGGCCTTGAGCTCACTTTGTAACCCAGGCTGGTCTCGAACTTGCAACGATCCTCCTGCCTCAGCCTCCCCAGTGCCGGGTTTACAGGTGTGTGCCACCATGCCCGGCACCCTCACCCTTGCTTATATCCCCACTATCCCTGCCCCCTGTCCCTGGGTAGCAGGAAGGGGTGACCTGGCTGCCCACTGGCCTGGTCCCCTGTGCCAGGTGTCTGCCTTCTGCTCTTAGGAGGCAGAGCCCAGGCCTGGCCACCGTGTCCCCCTCTACCTAGGCCTCTTCTCTCACCCACTGTGCCAGGAGGGGCCCCCCTGGGCCAGTGCTGGGGCAGGAGATGCCACAGTAGGTGGCTAGGAGCCACGGGCTTGGGGCCTGTTCACTGAGACCTGAGTGTCCCTTCAGGCAGGGGACAGAGGAAGGGGCTGGCGCCCACAGCCAGTGAGCTTCCCGGCTGGGCTGGGGCGTCATTGGAGGCCTGGGGAACAGGCGGTCCCACAGGCCCTGGGGTGACCTGCGTGCTCTCTAAGTCAAAGCCCCCATGGAAAGAGGCCTGTCACGGCTGAGGGCGCCTGCCCCATGCTCTGGCCTCCCCCGTCAGTGCCCAGTGTGGGTCAGAAGGGCTCTGGCAGGGGCAACAGGCCTGGCACCTGCAGCGCCACCACCTTTACCCGCCATGCGCCCGGGGGGTGTGACCCCAATGTCCTGCCCAGGTGGCCTGGAGTGGCTGAAGCGGGTGCTGTTCCGCGTGGGTGAGGACTGGTACTTCCTGATGGCCCTCGGGGTGCTCATGGCGCTGATCAGCTATGCCATGAACTTCGTGGTGGCGCGCGTGGTCCGAGGTAACTGTCCTGGTCGCCCACACGCACCCTGCCCTGGGCCAGGGGCTCCGAGCACGTCCCGGGGATGCCGGATGGGCCGCCGGGTGCAGCGGGGTGGAAGAGGGCTCTGGTCTGCTCCCGGCTTCTGCCTGGCTGTGTGGCCCTGGGCGGGCATCTGCCCCTCTCTGGGCCTCAGCCACCTCATTCCTTCCTCACCTGAGTGCTGTGCCCTCCCCGCCTCCCTCCTTGCTACCCTAGGGCAGCATATTGAGGACAGCGCTCACAGGCGATTCACAGCCTGTCTCCTTTAGTCTATGGTCACCCTGCGAGGGAGGGACCCTCGCTGGCCCATTCCACAGTTGGGGAAACAGAGGCTCAGAGAGGTTGAGTCACTTGCCCAGGTCACTCAACTAGGAAGTAGCAGAGCTGGGTTCCCCTCCTGCCCCTGCTTGGGGCCTAAATGGGCACCACAGCCTCCAGCCCTGGGGGCTGCAGAGGCTTCAGGGGGCTCCCTGACACCCTGCCATCCCCAGCACACAACTGGCTGTACCAGGAGATCGGGGACAGCCACCTGCTCCGGTACCTGTCCTGGGCTGTGTACCCCGTGGCCCTCGTGTCTTTCTCCTCCGGCTTCTCCCAGAGCATCACGCCCTTCTCTGGAGGTGAGTCCGCCGCCGTGCCCCTGCCATGTGCCTGGCACTGCCGTCCCCCTTGGCCAAGCCTTTGCGTCCTGTGGGTTTCTGAGGAGCGGTGGGAAGCAGTAACCCTGTTCCACAGCGGAGAAGCGGGCTCCGAGAGCCGTGCCTCCTGCCCACCACCACGTGCTACGGCCAGACGCGGAGCCCTGGGTCACTGTGGGCTCTACCTTATTCCCTGGGGCTGTGACAGGGCAGGGGCAGGGCCCCCGGGGCTGGTGTGGGCTGTGTGTGTGTGTGGACACAGACAGAGACAGGGGCTCCAGGCCTGGGCCCTGATGTCCCACTCTGGGGGCCCAGCTGGATGAACACAGACAGCCCAAGCTCCCCTCTGACCCTCAGCCTCCTCTTCTGCAAAACGGGGTTACGAACCCCAGCCTCAGAGGGTAGGGAGGCTCCGACCAGACCTGGACAGTGCCCCCCATCTGCCCACCCAGGCTCTGGGATCCCCGAGCTGAAGACCATCCTGTCAGGGGTGGTTCTGGACGATTACCTGGACATCAAGAACTTCGGGGCCAAGGTGGTGGGTCTGTCCTGCACGCTGGCCAGCGGCAGCACCATCTTCCTGGGCAAAGTGGTACGGACCCGACCCAGCCAGGCCCTGCCCCGCCAAAGCCCGTCCCTCAGCAGAGACAGGAAGACAGGCCCGGCCCCCTGATGTGACAGCAGCCATCTCGGATGGTCCTGGGGCTCGGGGGATGGCAGTGGGCGAGGGTGTGAGTGGGGAGGCCATGCTGGACCCCAGCAGGAGAAGGAAGAGGGGAAGACGGGTCCTGGCTCCCCCCAGAGCACTTGCCCCGTGCCCTATGCCCACACCTCCCCCTGCAGGGCCCCTTTGTGCACCTGAGTGTGATGATCGCGGCCTACCTGGGCCGTGTGCGGGTCAGGACCATCAGGGAGTCCGAGGTGAGGGCCTGGGACCCCTGGAGGGAGGGGAGCGAGAGGAAGGAGGGGCTGCCTCTGAGCCCAGGCCCTGCATCCCCAGAACAAGAGCAAGCAGAATGAAATGCTGGTGGCCGGGGCAGCAGTGGGCGTGGCCACCGTCTTCGCAGCCCCCTTCAGCGGTGAGGCCCCCTATCCTTGCCCCCGTGCCCCTGAGGCTCCACATGGCCCTGGCCTCCCCCGCTTGGGGACTGACCTGCTGCTCCTGTGCTCAGCGGAGGGGCCGGCAGGAGGGGCGGGACTGTCCTGGTTTCCACCCAGGCTGGGGTCCCCGGGGGAGATGTCTTTAGGAGGACACTGGACAGATGTGAGTTTGGAATCTAGTTCCTGCTGTGTGACCACGGCCAGTGAGCTCGCTTCTCTGAGCCTGGTTTCCTCAGCTCAGGTTCATAATAGTCCCCATGGTGGTGCATGCCTGTAATCTCAGCACTCTGGGAGGCTGAGGCAGGAGGGTTGTGACCTCAAATCCAGCTTGGGCCACTTAGTGACTTAGTGAGAGCCTGTTTCAAAGGTGAAAAATATAAACAGGGCTGGGGATGTAGCTCAGTTTGAAGGCCCTGAGTTCAATCCTCAGTACTGAGAAATAGTCAGGGTTCCCCCACCCCTTCTTAGCACAGAGTAGCCAGGGAAAAAAGGTTAGGGAGAGGCTGCGGCCAGGGCGCAGGGAGCGGCGGAGCCTCCTGACTCAGCCTCCCCGCAGGTGTCCTGTTCAGCATAGAGGTCATGTCCTCCCACTTCTCCGTCTGGGATTACTGGAGGGGCTTCTTCACTGCCACCTGCGGGGCCTTCATGTTCCGCCTGCTGTCGGTCTTCAGCAGCGAGGAGGGTGAGGCCCCTCCCCCGGCCTGCAGGGCCGCAGAGTAGGGCTGGGCTGCGGGGGCCTCGAAGGCCGGGGGTACTCGGGCCCCGCCCAGCCTCGGACCCCCGCGCCCTCCTCCCCGCCGCAGAGACCATCACCGTCCTCTATAAGACGAGCTTCCGCGTGGAGGTGCCCTTCGACCTGCCCGAAATCTTCTTTTTTGTGGCTCTGGGGTGAGTGGGGTCCCTGAGGGCCCAGCTGGGGGTGCGGGCTCCTGGGGCCTCGTGGGCGGGCCTGACGCCCACCCGCCCTGTGCCAGGGCCATCTGTGGCGTCATGAGCTGCGCCTACCTGTTCTGTCAGCGCACCTTCCTCGGCTTCGTCAAGACCAACCGGTTCACCTCCAAGCTGCTGGCCACCAGGTGTGCTGGGGCCTCTCAGGGCCCCCCATGAGCCCCCCTCCTCCCACCGAGCCCCCAGAGGAGGGGTGAGGCGGGGACCCCGTTTCCGGTCCATGGGGCAGGGAGAGGAGGCGCTCACGTCCCCCTCTCGGCCCCCAGCAAGCCGCTGTACTCTGCCCTGGCGGCCCTGGCGCTGGCCTCCGTCACCTACCCGCCAGGCGTGGGCCGCTTCTTTGCCTCTCGGGTAAGGGGCACTTGGGAGTGGGGTGGCGGGAGTGGGAGCCCAGCTCTTGCCTCCTTTGTGCTCTGTCTCAGTCCCCAAAACACCCTCTAAGGGAGAGGCCTGTGTGTCCTTTGATGGCTCAGGGAGCCCCCGAGGTCCCCAGCTGGGAAGCGCAGCGCAGGGGCTGAAGGGGTGGAGGCGGGTGGGGACTTGCGGGACAGCCACCTGCCCTGCTCCAGCTGTCCATGGGCCAGCACTTGGACTCACTGTTCGACAACAACACCTGGGCACTGGCCACCCGGAACTCGTCCCCGCCCTGGCCCGCCGAGCTTGACCCCAAGAACCTGTGGTTTGAGTGGTACCAGCCGGAGTTCACCATCTTCGGGACGCTGGCCTTCTTCCTGCTCATGAGGGTGGGTCCCCAGCTCCAGGGAGGGCTGCCTCCTCGGGCATGGGGCCTGGCCGGGCCCTTCCACCCACACTGCCCGCCCCACCCCTTCCCGCCAAGGTCCCAGGCAAGTGGCTTCAGCTCTTGGAGCCCCAGACTCATCACCTTTGAAATGAGTTACCCAGGCATGGTGGCACACACCTACAATAATCCAAGCACTTGGGAGGCTGAGGCAGGAGGATTGCCATAGATTTGAGGCTAGCTTGGGTTACATAGTGAGTTCAAGGCCAACCTGAACTATGTAGTGAGGCCCTGTGTTAAAGAAGCAGAACAATACAAATAAAAAAAATAAAATGGGGTAGGCACTGCTGTCTCTAACCTCTGCCCCTTGCCCGCCCAGTTCTGGATGCTGATTCTGGCCACCACGATCCCCATGCCCGCTGGGTACTTCTTGCCCATATTCATCTATGGTGAGTCCGGGGTGCTGAGGGTCTGAGAGGTTCTGGGGTGCAGGGGTGGGCCCTCGACTCCTGGCCCACCGCCTCCCTCCTGCTGTGGGACCCAGGATGGGCCCCGGGACAGCGGGCCTGGCTGGCTCCCCTCACACTGAGTTTGTGGTCAGGAGCTGCCATCGGGCGCCTCTTGGGGGAAGCCCTGTCTGTCGCCTTCCCAGAGGGCATTGTGGCTGGGGGCATCGTCAACCCCATCGTGCCGGGGAGCTACGCCCTGGCTGGTGAGTTCAGGGCCGGTGGCTGGAGGGCACAACTTGGGCTGCGCCTGGAGAATCGGCTGGAGGCTGTTGGGCATGGAGGGGCCACTGGGCAGCCCAGTCTGTCCCCACCCCTGAGCCCCCCACCCCGAGACCCCTCTTGGCGCCTGTCCTGTCCCTCTCTGCTCTCTGTGCCCAGCAGTGTCCAGCGTGTGCTTGCTGGTGCTCCCCGCCCTAGCCCGCGTCCTGGCTGTGCCAGCCGCGCCCTCTTGGCCTGAGCTGCCCCACCCCGCCCCCGCCTCCGTTCCCCCAGGAGCAGCGGCCTTCTCGGGGGCGGTGACCCACACCATCTCCACGGCGCTGCTGGCCTTCGAGCTGACTGGCCAGCTCGTGCACTGGCTGCCCGTGCTGATGTGCGTGCTGGCCGCCAACGCCATCGCCCAGAGCTGCCAGCCCTCCTTCTACGACGGCACCATCATCGTCAAGAAGCTGCCCTACCTGCCCTGGATCCGGGGCCGCCGCCTCGGGTGAGCGGCCGCGGCAGGCGGGGATGATGGAGCTGGGGGAGGCTGGGGGGGAGACCCCCAGAAGAAGGCCATCATGGCTGACCTTGGCTACGGCATCCTCTGGTCCCCGTGCCCCCAGTGCCCCACTGGCTGGGTGAGAACCAGGGTGCTCGCCCCAGCTCACACGGACACTGCAGAGCCAGCACTAGCTTTGGGGGTCCTCTCCCCGCCCCTCCTGCTCTGCTGTCCTTACTGCATGTGGGGAGCTGGGGGCGGTGCTAGAATGGGGGCTTTGAGGGTCTCCCCAGGCCACACGGGACCCAAACAGCTCCCATCCTCAGAAGGGCAGGACCCAGAGGCTCCGAGGGCTCTGGGCCAAGGTCCAGCTCCAAGGTCCTCAGTTTCCCCATCTGTGAGATGGGGGTGTTCACCCAGAGGTTTCTAAACCTCAAGTTGTTCTTTGGTTTGATTTTGCTGTGCAAGTTTTCTCCCGGTGAAGTTTTCCTGGGGAGCCGATGGGATAAATCATAGCAAAGTAGAGCTAGTCTGGGGGGCTCTGGGAGGCTCGGGTTCAGACCTGGGCCCTCGGTGAGGTATCTCAGGCTCCTTCCCATGGTGGGGTCCTGGAGCCCCTCAGTTCCCACGCACACTGGACAGCCACGGGTCCTGTCCCAGCTGAGCTCCCCGGGGACGCTGAGGGCCTGACAGGGGCTCCCTCTGCCCGCAGCTCCCACCCCGTGAACGTGGGGAACTTCATGAGCACCGCCATCACCACGCTGGCCAAGGATGCGCCGCTGCCGGAGGTGGTCAAGGCTGTGACCTCCACAGACACGGCCGAGTACCCCCTGGTGGAGAGCACAGGTGAGGGGTGGCGGGGGCAGGGGCAGGGCCGGCAGGGAGAAGCGGGGCATGGGGTCTGGGTATGAGTCCGGGCCCTGGCTTAGCTGTGTGGCATTGGGCAAATCCCTTTGCATCTCTGAACTTCTGTGGCTTTGTCAGTGACGTGGATGAGATCCACACTTGGGGGCGGGGGCTGACATGCGTAAAGAGACCAGATGGAGTGTGTAAGGCACCATGGACAGCTCCTGGAAGGAGCCCCCCCCCCAGGGGTCCTTGTCCATTCCCTGTTGCCAGGACAAGAGTATCTTTTAAAAGATGAATGAATAATGGCTGCGATTACAAGACACAAGAGTAGCTGGGTGTGGTGGTGCACACTTGTAATCCCAGCACTCTGGGAGGCTGAGGCAGGAGGATGGCAAGTTCAAGCCCACACCTGGCAGCTTAGTGACTTAGTGGCACTCAGTCTCAAAAAAATTAATAAATAAATAAATAATAAGGGCTGGGCATGTAGCTCAGTGCAAAGACCCTGGATTCAATGCCTGGTACTGGGAGAGAAATAACATGTGAAAGCTAAATCTCAAGGGCAGATCTAATCAGCACACTCTTCCTGCCCTGTCAGGGTTGCCGTCAATTCCTCTTGTGCAAATGAGACAAGGCACACACATGGCAACCATAGCGTGACTGGATTTTGTCCCCACTTGCCTTTTGGGTTGGCATCTGGTGCAGTGAGGAACCTGTACAACTATACTTGTCACCCCTGCAGCCTCCCTGGGAGGAATAAAACCACCTGTGAGCCGAGTAATATCACTAAAGTTCCACGAGCCACAGGGTCCTCACCGATACCGTCCAGGTTTGCCAGGGACCTCCGCCCCATGGCAGGTGCACCCCCCTACCCTGCGCTCCACGCAGCAGAGCAGGCAACACGCACGGCCTGCACAGGGGTGGCCCCGAGAAGCTTTACCTGCTAAAACAGGGCTGACTTCAAAGACAAAGTTCTCTTCCACCCCGGAGCTACGGGCAGCGCAGCGATCCCAGCCTCCCCCGTCCGGCCACCAGGAAATCGCTTTATTACCGGAGCCGAGGATGGCGTGGGTCCGCTTAGTTGTCAGCTCCGCTGTGGAGCCGGGGTGGATCCTGGGGCCTCCTGCAGAGGACACAAGACACCCTCCTGTGGCACGTCACCCCCCATGGAGATGTACCCAGCTCAGGCTCCAAGTTGTTATTTTACTGGACAGAGGGCAAAGATACACTCAGAGGCATAAGCACCTGCCTGGCAAGCACAAGGTCCTAAGTTCGATTCCCGGTACCAAAAAAAAAAAAAAAAGAAAAGAAGGCAAAGATACTGAGGTAGCCCTTCAAACCCACCACCCCCGTGCTACCCCAGGGCAAGCGTGAGCCCGGGACAGAAGGCGTCAGAGCCCGGCGGCCTCCGGGCAGTGTTCACTCCCTCACTGGGCTGCGCTGGACCCGGGCCTCCTGTCCTGAGAGAAGGAGGTGACACGCTGATGTCACTCTGCAGATGTCCCCAGCTCCTGTGGCAAGGCCCTGTGACATGGGGATCTCAGTGGGGACCAGCAGGCAGCCCCACCCAACCACCCTCACCTGACACACCCCTTGCCTGAAGCTGAGGGACCTTGCGAGGGGCAGTTGGCGCCTGTCCTCGTGCCTCAGTTTCCTGTCCTGTGAGATGGGTGGGAAGGGTTGTAACAGACCACAGCTTTCCTCAGAGAGAGGAGCCCCGCCATGGGCGCACAGGAAGTGCTCAGGAAGTGTGCGGTCCTACTCTGTAACCCGCCCTCCCCCTCTCTACCCCCCAGAGTCTCAGATCCTCGTGGGCACGGTGCGCAGGGCCCAGCTGCTGCAGGCCCTCCTGGCTCGGCCACCTTCCTGGGCTCTGGGAGGACAGGTGGGTCCTGGAGGGGAGGTAGCGCTGGGGCGTGGCACGGAGGGTGGGCTGGGGGGAGGGGAGGTTGGCCGGGTCCGGGTCCCCATTATCTCTCTCTGTCCCCAGCGGCATCTCCACGACATCCTGGCTGGAGGCTGCCCCACCGAGCCAGTGACCCTGCAGCTGTCCCCCGACACCACCCTGCACCAGGTAACGGGGAGCAGACCCACGGCTGAGGTGGAGGGGAGACTCGGGCTCCGGCTTGCGGGCCCTCCCCCCACCGTCATCCTCCGCTCCCTGGGGCACAGCGGCTCCCATCTGTCCGCCCCTCCCTGCCAGGGTTGTGATGCAGACACTAGCGAAAGGAGGGCTCAGGAGACAGAAGCTGCTGGGTGGGAGACACAGTGGTTAAAGGCACCCCATCAGCGGGGCATGGCAGTGCACGCCTGTAATCCCAGCTACTCAGGAGGCTGAGGCAGGGGGATCGCATGTTCAAGTGACTTAGTGAGACCCTGTCTTAGAATAAATAAAATGGGCTGGGGTGTAGCTCAGTGGTTTTAGGCTCTGGGTTCAATCCATCCTCCCTCTCCAAAAGTATTGCATCAAGGGGTCAGTTGATTTCACTTTTATGCCCCCCACATGCTCTCTGTATGGTTTTGGGTTAATTACTTAACCTCAGTACAGAGCGTGGCCCACGAGGCCGAGGAGGCAGCAGCAGCGGACGGGAACTTGGGAGTGGCCGGGGATGATGCCCTTCCTGCGAGCTGAGGCTGTAACGGGTCCTTCCCGCTGAGGCCCGGCCCTGCGCCTTGAGTGGACTCTGGCGGCCCCTAGCGGTCTCAGTGTGCATCGCAGACCCTGTCTTTCCCTGGGGGCGTTCCCGGCCTGAGACCCGGGTGGGGCAGCCGGCGAGGCGCCCCCGCCCTGCAGCGCCTCCTTCCCGCCCCGCCAGGCACACCACTTGTTCGAGCTGTTGCACCTCCAGTCGCTCTTCGTGACGTCGCGGGGCAGAGCTGTGGGCTTCGTGTCGTGGGTGGAGGTACCAGGGTCTCGAGGGCGGGCCAAAGCAGAGGGGGCGTGGGAGGGCAGCATCCTCCCATGCGAAGTGTGGGGGTTTCACAGGACTCTAATGAGCCCCCCTTCTGGGCCCGGCTTCCCTGTCGCCTGCAGCGGTCCTCTGGGCTTCCGGGGCGGCCAGCCCCCATCTCCCCCTCCTCCTCCCTCCCGCACCCCTTCCTGTGCCGTAGCTGAAGAAGGCCATCTCCAGCCTGACGAACCCCCCAGCCCCGAAGTGAGCCGGCCTGGCAGGACAGACCGGACCGCTATCCCCGGCGCCGCCGCTCCTGCCTCTCCTGCCATCCTCCCAGCCCGGCTCCCGCCGTGCCCGAGCGGCGCCCACAGTCACGGTGCCACTGGGTCCCATCGCGGGGACAACAGCGACTGCCTCGAGGGACGGAGCCTGATACAGCGGACACCTGGCTGTATGTGTGGTCCTTAAGGTCACACGCGGCGGGCGACGAGGACGGGCACTGGAGCCCCCTGGCGGCGCAGATTCCCACCCCGAAACTCTGGAGAATAAAGAGGATGCCAGAGCTGCCCGCGAGCACCGCTGTCTCCTCCCCGGATGCGTGTGGAGCGGCCCCCAGCTCCGGCCCTCCCTGGTCTCCTCCTCCCTTCCCGTTCCTTGGCAGGGAGAAGTGGGTCCCCCACCAGGGCTTATGCGGCTTGTCCTGGATGGAGCTCGGCCGATCAAGTGGGGTCCCAGGGTGTGACTCTTTGCACAAGCCTGGGGCAGCCGGAAGTTCGGGGGGGGGGGGGTGACGTGCGTCTGCCCACCGGGTTCCCTTGCCCGAGGGCTGGAGGACACCCCTTCCGCCGCAGAGATCAGGTCCGACTCATCAGGACATAGCCACCACTTTAATGTCACCAGAGAACCAAGGGGAGCTGGGGGTGCAAGGAGGGGGAGGGGTCCCGGGGGGAAGGCGCTGGGCACCGAGGAAGAGGTCCGGATGGTGAGGGACAGACAGACACTCCGGGGACGGAGCCCGAGGGTGCTTAGCTACCAGAAGAGGCGGCCCACCTTGGATGGGGCAGGCGCGGGGAGTGGGGGCTACGCCGGGTCCAGGCAGATCAGGTCTCCAGGCCCCACTCCAAGGGGGCCTCCTGGTCCCTTCCATGGCCTGTCGTCTGCCTGGGGACACGGCTGGCAGCTCCCCTGGGACGGCTGCAGAGTCCTTGAGCTCACAGAGGGCAAGGGGCCCACTGGGCCAAGGAGAGAAGGGGGTCACGGCTCCCCCTGTGGGGGGCAGGTCCACGAGGCACACAGTGGTCCATGAAGGGTGCCTGTCCGGTGGGGTCCCAAGATGCCCAGACCTGGGGTCCCGTGTGCGGAGGCTGCCAGCCAGGCCCGGTGAGGTGTGGGCGGGCGCTGCACCCTGGCCGGCTCAGTTGTAGAACACCTCGTCCTCCTCTTCCCAGAGGGAGCCGCTGTCCATGGAGGGCAGAGAGCCCTGCAGGGGGGCCCCACCCTCCGGGCCCGGGCCCCCAGGCAGCCGTCTGCGATGCTGCTGCTCAGGGCTGGGGGGCTGCGAGCCAGCAGCTGGGATGGGGGGCTCCTCGGGGGAGGGCCAGTCGTCCGGGGAGAGGCCGGGGGATGAGAAGGCCAGGAGGCTGTCGTCTCCCAAGGGGCCGCTCCGAAGGCTGTCCTGAAGGTAGATGCTCTCCAGGTCTGGAAGGCAAACGGTACAGGAGAGGACGGGGTCCTGCTGCTGCTCCATGCCCTCTCCGGGCATGAGGGGGACCTGCCTTCTAGTCCTGCTGCTTCATCACTGAGCTGAGTGACCACTGGCAAGTCACTCAACCTCTCTGAGCCCAGTTTCCTCCCCGTGGCAGGGAGGAGCCAGACCACACTCCGAAATGGGCCCCCAGCACCCTCGGGGCCTGTCCCTGCCCCTCCTGGTCAGAGGGAGGGTCATGAGGTAACTTAATGCAGGCATCACCCAGGACCCCAGCTCCTGGAGCCCTCCACCGTTACTCAGGGTTCTAGAAAGGAGGTGAGTTAGCTGGGCACAGCGGCGCATGCTTGTAATCCCAGCACTCTGGGAAGCTGAGGCAGGAGGATTGCAAGTTCAAGTCCAGCCTGGCAGCTTAGTGACTTATTAAGAACTTGTCTCTAAATAAAAAAAGGGCTGAGGATATCATTCAGTGTGAAGGCCCTGGGCTCAACCCCCAGCACTGCAGGAAAGAAAGAGAAGGGTGGGCAGAAGGAAGGACGACAGAGAGGAGGCAGGGAGGGTGGGGGCTGCGCCTGGTGGTTACTCCAGAGCCGGCTCTGACACTGAGTCGAGTGATTCCTGCACCTCTAAGTGCCTGAGGCTCCTGAGTGGGGACAATAGGATCTGTCCCCAGGGCAGCTGTGGGGACACGGGACGAGCACATGGACAGTGTGAGCTACAGCGGCACTTATTCTGCTCAGGCCGCCCTGCGCCTGGTGGGGTGGGGGTCACGGCCTGTTTCACAGAAGGAAAGGAAGGGCTGGGGGCACCGAGCAGGCAAGCAGCGCCCCAGCCGGCCCTGCCCACCCTGCCACACCCCTGGGTGTACCCTGGAGCTGGACAGCATCCTCGGGGCTGTCCTCAGGGTGCAGCTCCTCGTCGTCCAGAGAGGACCAGGCGCTCAGCGTGGCTTCTGTGATGGCGAACTGTTCGGCCACCCCTGGGGGACAGCGAGACCCAGCTCAGCAGGGACACGTGGGGAGGGGGCTCTGCGCCACAACAGCCCTCTCAGCCGCCCATCTCCCCACGACTGGATGCCTGCTCCATGCCACATCCACCTGCCTCCGCCTTCTCCGCCTGTGGGGGGCTGGGCCCCGTGCCCCGCTGACCTGCGGCGAAGCGCGCCTCGCGGAGCTCGTCCGGGAGGCAGCAGTAGTGCTCGTCCTCGGCTGGCGACGGCGCCCAGCCCGCCCGCGGGGCGCTCCAGCCCTTCCACTCGATGAGGTGTGCCACGCGGCCTCGCGCCATGGCCGTGGGCTTGGTGATGTGGTCCTTGATGCTCTGCACCACGCCTGGGGCACGGGGACAGTGGGCGACAACTGTCCCAGCACCAGGCCCCCCAGTGTCCTCGCCCCCCATACCGAGCCCCACACCCCACACCTGTGTATCATCCAGTGCCTCCAGGGCACCAAGGCCCTGTGCCCTCAAAGCCAGATGCTACCCTGTGGCTGATGCCTCTGTATGCCACCGTTGCCCAGCCCTCGCCCTGCTCTGCCCCCCACTTCACTTAGATGCCGCCCCATGTCCCAGCCCGGTGGACGGTCCTGCTTCTTCCTCAGATGGGCCACGCCTCCCCCAACAATCTAACCCCGAAGCAGGATCCCTAAGACACCATCCCTCTCTCTCTGTCACACACACACACCATCGGCCACCCACACAGAGCCTGTCATTCAAAAAGCACAGAAGAAGCCGGCAGGTCTGCCCGCTCTGCTCCCTCAGCTTTGTCCGGGCAGGAGCCTACCCACGAGGGACGAGGTGGCCAGGGCCGCCACGCTGTAGTTGCCGGCGCGGGCTCTGGAGTCGCACAGGTAGCCGTTGGTGGTCTGGAAGCACCTCTGCAGCAAGGGGGCGCGGTGTGAGTGGGGGGCTGCTGCTTCTCTGTGGCCGCGCCCCACCGTGTCCCTCACCAATGACCCCCCGCGTCCAGCCCGCCCCACCCAAGCCGGAGAGAGCAAACCAGCCTCCTCCTCCCCAGGGCGGGCAGGACTGCGCGCACAGCTGGGCACAGCGGAGGAGGGCGGTGGTGTCCAGCAGGGCCTTCGCACTGACCTGCCAAGGATCCCAACAGAAATCCTGCTGTTTGTCCTACAGCAAGAGGAGAAGGAGGGTCAGGTGGGGCCCGGCCACCCCATGGCTGCGTCCTGCGCGGGGATGGGGGTGGCCTGGTACTCTAAAAGGTCAGAGCCTGCCGTGTGGGCTCTCTCCTGGCACTCAGAAAGGAGGGGGACAGCCGTGGCCCTGGGAGGCGAGGCAACGGGCAGGCGAGAGATCACAGCTGGGTTCCCAGCTGGGCATCTGTAGACTGGTGACCCAACAGCTCAGGCCATCAGCTTCCTCCCGTGTGGCACGGGTGACCATGCCACGGACCTCACAGGCTGTGACATAACACGGGCACAGTGCTCAGAGTGTTCCATGTCCTCGACAATGGCTGGAAAGAAGGTTCAAGCCGCAGGTCTCTGGGGCAGGCGTGGACACTGCACCCGGGCTTGAGGACCTGGGCAGCGGCTTCCCTGATGGACTTGTGCGGAGAATCCACCCCTTTCTTTCCCAGGGGACAGTGCAGGCTGCTGCAGAGCTATGGGCTTATTGTGGAGCCTGCTGTCTGCGGGCCTGAGGTAACTGTGGTGGGAAGACCTAGGGCAGGGCTGGCTTTTCTAAACACGCCCGGCCCAATCCTGGGCTGCCCGTTTCCATCCAGACCCTCCCCATGCTGAGCTGCAAACCTAAGGGGCCCTGGTCCCAGGGGCAGAGGGGAGGCAGGGGCCTGGGATGGCTCCTGCTCCCTGTGGGCGGCTGCGGGCGCAGGCAGGAGGCAGGGTCGCTGCTTACCTTGCCAGTGACATGGCCTGCAGCCGCGGCGGGAGGGTGGCCGGGGGGCAGGTCTGCGGTGAGGGGGTCTGTGCCCCGGGGCATGGGGCAGTCCTTGTGGGCACTTGTGAACAGATCTGGAAACAAGGACAAAGGCAGGAATTTAGGGAAGCCCAGCACTAGCTGGAAGAATAAAGCAGGGGGAAAGCAGGAAGTGAGGGAGGGAAGCAAACCTAAGTAGAAAAGGAGGAAATCAAATTATCCCTGTTTGTAGATGATATGAGTTTATATACAGAAAAGAACTAAAGACAGCACCAAAAAAAAACACTGAATTGGTAAATGCATTCAGTAAGGTTGCAGGGTACAAAATCAGTATACAAAAATAAGTGGCTTTTTATTGTACACCAAATTTGCTGAAAAAATGCCAGGCATGGTGGTGCACGCCTGTAATCTCAGCACTTGAGAGGCTGAAGCAGGAAGATCATTGCATTCAAGACCAGTCTGGGCTACAAAGTGAGCTCAAGGCCAGCTTGAAATGCATAGTGAGACCCTGTCTCAAAAAGACAAAATAAATAAACAAACATTTGCTGAAAAAGAAATCAAGAGAGCAATCCTTGTCATAGTGACTCCAGTGATAATGATGGTGATGATGATGGTGCAGATGGTGGCACATAACTGTAATCCCAGCACTTGGGAGGCTGAGGCAGGAGGATCGCTGTGTGGCCAGCCTGGACTACATAGTGAGTTCATGGCCAACCTGAACTACATAGCAAGATCCTGTTTCAAAATAATAATAATAATAATAATAATAATAATAATAATAAAATACCAAGGAAGTGAATGATCATCTACAATGAAAATTATGAAATGCTATGGAAAGAAGTTGAAGAAGACACAAAAAATGGAAAGATATCCCATGTTCATGGATTGGAGGAATTAATATTGCTAAAATGTCCATACCCAAAGCAATCCACAGAATCAATACAGTTCCTATCAAAACACTAAGGACATTCTTGAAAGAAACAGAAAAACACTTTTAAAATTCAGATAGGCTGGGGATGTAGCTCACTGGTATGGTGCTTGCTTAGTATGCACAAAGTCCTGACCTCAATTCCCAGCTGCAAAATAATAACAATAATGATAATAACAATAAATTTTAATGGAACTACAAAAGACCTCCAGAGAAATAACAAGCACAATCCTGAGTTAAGAGGAAAAAATTGGAGGAATTCTAACAGCTGCTTTCAAAACATGCTACAAAAGTACAGTACCCCAAAGCAGCATGGTACTAGCGTAAAAACAGACACAGAGGGCCAGGGGAACCAAACAGAGAACCCAGGAAAAAAATCTATGCATCTGTAGCCAACTGATTTTTTACAAAGGCAGTGAGAACATACACTGGAGAAAGGAAAATCTTGTCAATGAATGGTTATAGGGAAACTGTATATGCAGAAGGATGGAACTACACCCCTATGTTTTACCATATTAAAAAAAAAAAAAAAAAAAAAAAAAAACTAGCCAGGTGTGGTGGTACACACCTATAATCCCAGCTCTCAGGAGGCTGAGGCAGGAGGATCACCATGAATTCAAGGCCAGCCTGGGCTACATAATGAGCTCAAAGCCAGCCTGAATGGCATAGTGAGACCCTGTCTCGAGGAGGATCAAAAGTTTGACACCAGTCTGGGCAACTTAGTGAGACCCTGTCTCAAAATAAAGAAAAAGAGCTGGAGATATAGCTCAGTATAAAGGTCCTCGGTTCATTCCTCAGTAACACACACACACACACACACACACACACACACACACACACACACACACATGCACACACACAATGTATAAAGACGTAAATATAAGACCTGAAACTATAAAACTACCAGTAGACAACAAAGGAAATGTGTCAGAACAGTGATCTGGGTGAAGATTATTTGATGTGACCCTAAAAGCACAAACAGACAAATGAGATTATATCAAGCCATAAAGCTCTGTACAGCAACAGGAGTGATCAACGGAGTAAAGAGATAATTTACAGACTGGGGGAAGATATGTGCAAACTTCTCAGAGAAGGGATTATTAAAAATGTATTTATTTATTGTGGAATGGGAGTTGAACCCAGGACCTTGCACTGAACTACATCTCCAGCCCTTTCATTTCTTTTATTTTGAGGCAGGGTCTCACGAAATTGCTAAATTGTCCAAGTTCAGTTTTACATTGTGATCCTCCTGCCTCGGCCTTCCAGAGTGCTGCAATTACAGGTGTGTACCACCAGGCCCAGCCAGACAAGAGGTTAATCTCCAGAATACATAAGGAACTCAACAGCAAAAGAAAAACAAAACCAAAAGCCAGGTATGACACGCACACTTGGGAGTCCCAGCACTTGGGAGGCTGAAGCAGGAGGATCATGAATTTGAGGGCAGCCTGGGCTACATTGCAAGACCTCGCCTCAAACAAAACAAAGTAAGACAAGTACTCTGATGTACAGAACTGACAGATAAGCTAAATAGATATTTCTCAAAAGAAGATGTGCAAAAAGCCATCATGTGTATAAAAAGAGCTCAACACCCCGAGCTCTCAGAAAGATGCATTCTAAGGCAGGACGAGTTCTCATCTCACTCAGTGCTGTGGTCAGAACGGCTGTTACAAAACAGACAAGAAACAGCAAACCCTGGAAAGGATGGGGACGGAGGGGAACTCTTAGATACAGTTTGTAGGTGCAAATTAGTATGGCCACCATGGAAACGGTATGGAGTCTCCTCAAAAACTAGAAATAGGGCTGGGTGTGGTGGTGCATACCTGTTATGCCAGCACTCAGGAGGCTGAGGCAGGAGGATCCCTATGAGTTTGAGGCCAACCAGGACTACACAGTGAGTTCAAGGCCAGCCTGAACTACATAGTGAGACCCAGCCTCATAAAATGACAAACAAAGAAATTAAACCATCCTGAAACCCAGCAATCCCACTTCTGTGTATTTATACACCCAAAGGAACGGAAACCAGTATGCAGAAGAGACATTGGCACCTGCCTGTTCATGCAGCAATAACAGGCCTTTCACAGCAGCCGAGAGAGGGAGGCAACTGCAGGGTCACTGATGGATGTGTGGTGTGGACACAAAATGCAGGGCTATTCAGGCATAAAGAAGAATGAAATCCTGAGGTGCACACGGTGCCGCACACCTGTGATCCCAGCACCCAGGAGGCTGAGGCAGGAAGGTTGCCACAACTCAAAGCCAGCCTGGGACACATAGCGTCTTAGTTACTTTTCTCGTTGCTGAGACAAAATATGCAACACCCACAAGTGAAGGGAGGAAAGGTTTATTTCCGCTCAGAGTTTGTAGAGGTTTCAGTCCATAATCGGCTGGCTCCAAGGTAGGCTGGCGCCCAGGCAGGGTGGCTTGGCAGAAACCATTCACGGCAGAAGGTAGCAAAGCAACAAGGGATGACCGCAGGTCCTTCCGTCCCTCATGTGTCATCCAGGCTACTCACACCCTGAAGCCTAGCGACACCGAGCCTAGCACCGCACCATGAATCAACCCCAGCGTCACACACTCTGGATTCAGCCACCTCTGAAAAAGCCCCCCGTGAGCACACGAGGCTTTGTGGAGACAGCTAGACACAGGCTGGAACACGCAGTGAGTTCAGGGCCAGCCTGAACTCCATCGTGAGACCTTGTCTTGCAAAAGCAGAACAAAAGAATGAAATCCTCTCAGCCTGGGCAACATGGATGGAAACGGAGGACACGAGGCCAGGGAGAAGGAGGCCAGCAGCACATGTGCTCATGTACGTGGATGCTGAAAAGTTGATCTCACAGAAGCAGGGAGTGGGATAGTGGTCAGTGAAGCTGAGAAGGGGTGAGCAGGGATAGAGAGGCCTAAGGTTACAGGAGGGTGGGTAGGAGGAGTAATTTTTCTTGTACGTGGTACTAGGCATTGAACTCAGGGGTATTGCACTGAGCTATATCCCCACCCTTAATTTTTTTTTTTTTTGAGGTAGGGTCTCACTAAATTGCCAAGGTGACATTTGAATTTGTAATCCTCCTGCCTCAGCCTCCCAGAGTGCTGGGATGACAGGCGTGCTCCACGATGCCTGGCTAGAAAGACTAATGTTTTGGTTTGTTTTTTGAGACAGGATCTCACTATGGAGTCCAGGCTGGCCTTAAACTCACTATGTTGCCCAAGCTGGCCTTGAACTCTCCTGACTCAGCCTCCCAAGTGCTGGGATTATAGGAGTGCGCCCAAACTTGCATTCACCTCCTCCTGACTGCAGCTTCCTCCACCTGCTTGTGCATCCAGCTCACACACACACACAGCGCTGGGTGCGACCTCCACTTCCTGTGTCCTGCTTTCCCCTCCCCCAAGCCAGGCTGGCTTTTGTGAGAGGACCAGGCCCTTGGCACTATTGAAACCTCGCTGTGGACAAGTCCCAAGGGCGGTTTTTCTGGCCTCACCCCCATGGCCCTTTCCCGCCCTGCAGAGGGTCTGTGGCATGTGGCTCAGGCAAACCTTCACACCCCAGCCCCGAGCCCACACCTGACCTCCGACTGAATTTCCAACCCCCTCCGTGGAAGCCTAACTCGGTCCAAGCAACCCGGGCAGAAGGGAGCGCCCCAACTCAGGCTGCACCAGCCACACTCTGGGAGTTTCTCAGAGTCTGTGCCCCGCTTCATGCTACGATGCCACCCAATCCACAGTGGAGTGCCCGGCTCTCTCCTGCGTCCCCACCCTCACCTTCTCCCGGGTGGGCCACCACCCGCTCCCCCATGCAGCACCAGTCGCTGTACCCACCCCCAGCCCCTTCTCCCTGGGAGGCACAGCCCGGGGCCCGTGGGGTCCCAGCAGAGTCCCTGCGGGGGCAGTTAGCAGGGTGCTCTGCCCACACTTCACCTTGGACCCCTGCCTCCCGACCTGCGCCCTCTGCATCCGACAGAAGACAGGCGGCACCTCTGGTGTTCTGGGACGGCCGCCCACCTCGGGCTGTTGCAGCGCAACACACACTCAGTGTTTGGGACAGGAGCATCTCCTGAGAAAAATGCTGGTAAGTGATTTTCCAGAGGCCGTGGCCTGATGCACACCTAGCTGGGGTCCCTGTGCTGAGCACGCAGGCAGCTGTGCCGCAGGGCAAGCGCGGGGGTCTGGCATGAGATG